ACTTCATTAGCCATTACTTAGTTTCTCAAAAATAATAGAGCAAAAATCACTAGTTCTGTTCTCAGGGTTTAATTTTATCACAAGTAAAGACTTCTCTGTTATATTTGTTGTTGTCATGCCTGTACCTATCATCTTTAATTGAAGATGTTCATAATACAGGAAATTACCTGGATTTTAATAGATACTGATAGCCGTGGTAGTGTACAGTTGCCACGTTTCAATAGCAGAGTGCAGAAAAGTGATATGCAACTTTTTTGCAGTCACATGAGAGATCAGTGACAGAGGTGGGATTACATCTTGGATTCTGCCTTTTAAAATATGTGAAAGTGTATTTAATCCAAATAAATGAGATATGAAAATAGGACAAATATATGCATATCTTATTACAAATATATGTTTGGAAAATAATCCTTTTTGGCTTTATGACAGAGTATAGAGCAGACGTTACTTTTCAGCACTGCAACTGCAGGAAGGACGAAAACTGCATACCTCTAATTGCATTCTGGAAAAATTACTAGTCTAGGTCCTGGTTTATGAACACGCCGAGTTTTCTGGCAAGCCGACGCAGTGTGTTTTTTGTCACCAAGGGAGTCTGGAGGCTGCAGCAGTGCTTTGCCGTGGTCAGGGGAGAGCGCCGTCCTGGTGTTACCCGAGCTCGCGCAGGTCTGCGCCCGCGGTAAGGGTGCACGGCCCTGCTTCTGTAAATACAGATTTGGCGGTTGAAGGGGCGGCGGCGCTTGTGTTCGGTGGCAGGTTCCGCCCCTCGGGATCCGTGTCCAGGCTCCTGACAGTTTGGGGGGGGCAGCAGAAGCAGCGGGGAGCTCGCCCCCCCGAGCCCAGCGCCCGCGTTCCGGGTGCTGTCGCCGCTCCCCTCTCCGAGTGCCCGGGCGCTGTGGCTGGTGCCGGCCGTGCCTCCCGCGGCCCCCGCCGCAGGCGCTCTCCTTCCCTCCCCTTTTGCTGCAGTGTGGGGTCGCAGATTCCCTGCCTGGGCTGCCGGCTCTTTTCCATAACGTTGTCAGCTGGGTGGTATTTGCCTGCTCTGGGTGTCATCCTGACACCGTTGCCTCGCTCCGGGCTGGTAGGGTGGCTGGCTGGCGAAGCTGTCACCCGGCCGTGGCAGCCGTGCACACAGACAAAGTCAGCGTTGATGTTCAGCGGGAGCTTCGTGCCGTCGTGGCCCTGAGCACGCAGCGGAACGCGTGCAAGGCGTCTGCTGGCTGTGTCTCTCTGCCCGGCGCTGCTGAGGGCGCGATGATCGTGCCGCCGGCGCCTCCTTCCCTTTTTCCTTCGCTTTTCCTTCCGCTCTGGGGGCCGGGGGGGCTGCTCCCGGGCACGTCTGCCCCGCGTCCCGTCTGCTCCCCGGGAGACCGCGCGCAGTTCCGACCGGCCGCGTTCAGGCCGCGCACTGTTGTTCTGGAGGTGACAGGAAAACGATGATTTGCCTCGTTACTGGCGTGTCGCTGCTGCCTCCTGCTCCTGAAACGCTAGGCAAAGCAAGTAGCGTGGCACACGGTGTAGAACATCGCTGGTGAGTCGTTTCAGAATCCTGTATGCACAAGTGAGTTTTTCCCACTCCGCTTCCCTCAGACAGCAGTGCTCTTACCTTATCTTACAGCTTGTGACTTTTTCAAGACGTGGTGTGTTTTCCTTAACAAAAAAAATGAAACGTCTTTTGCCGGGCTGGGCGAGCCGAGGACGCAGGCCAAGGAGGAAGAACGCAGCCGACTCAGTATGAGTGATAAAGCATGCTTCAATTTATTGATTTTCATTACAGCCTTTTATAATCCGTCTGCTTAATTATGCCTACTAGTCAATCATTGATTGGATAAAATACAAGCAAGCCGTGCCAGGGCTTGTTGGCCCAAGCCCTGGGAAAGACCCAGATAAGTTAGTTTAGGAGAAACAAAAAATGCTCATTTCTCCATCCTCCCCTGATTAAAGAAGAACAAGGAATGCTTCCCAACCTTGACGAGATAGAGAATGTTTCATCTCAGAACCTTAGTCAGTACTTTCCCACGGGACTCACTCTTGCTGTTGTTGACTCTTGCTGACTGAGGCCTACTCATGCTAACTTAAAAGAGACTCTCGTCGCAAAGAGGATCTCTAGATCCATGTCCCTTTTCCCTTAGCCATTCTCCAACATCTTTTTCAGAAGTTGTGTTCTTCCCTTTCCTGGCATCGGTGGTTAAGATTCTTTACGCTGAGGCACAGGTGTACGATAAAATTGTTATTTACTGTTACTTTATGCCTTTCAAGGAAAAAAATATTAGCAGACTGTCGATAAAAAAACTAGTTCGAAAGTCAAAATGAATGTAAAGCCCAGGTGGCCATTGTCTCTTACAGATGTCTGTTGGGCAGCTCGTGGTGGTGCAAGTAACTCTTCAGAACATCCTTCTGTGACATGTCACTGCTTCCAGCAGGATCTTGCCTTGTGACAGCTCCCCTGCCAAACTGAACAGAGACAAAGGGAGCAGTCTGGGTTAAGGAGGGTGATGGTACACAGCACGGGCATGCATAGACGGGGAAACTGTTTTGTTTGTGGAATCGTATCTAGCTTTGGGTCAAATATTTGTGGAGAAATGTGATCACAAGTGCAGTTGCTAGTTAGTGCGTGTTCGCCTTTGCCAGTCACGGTAACCGTCACGTGCAGCAGCTCGGGTTCACCAGGCGTCCTGTGCTGGAGCTAACACAGCTGCAGGGATTTGCAACCTGAAGCCATGAGGAGCAAGGAGCACTTTTATCTGTTCGTATGTTTGGAATTCGGTGGAAGTGCTAGGTGTCCAGAGTGTGCCCAGGGCGGACAGGATTTCCTAGGGCTGGCTGAAAGGAATTGCACATGCCTGTAGGGAGAGGAGCGATTCATTTTGGCAGTGTTGGTTTCGTGGCCTTGCGTGTCTTTTCCTTTAGTAACTCCCTGCTTATTCAGGATGGCCCAAAGAGAAAAATAAAGGCTGGAAGCCTTAAGTCAAAGGATGAAGCAATGGTGGGGAGACTTCTGGCAAGGAGAAAACGTTGAATGGCTTTTGGTCAGCAAATAGGGCTGGCTCAGGGGCCGTGTTTTGGTTCTGTGCTTGCTAGAAACTGCTTTGTCCGTTACGTCAGCTTCCATGGCTGCTGCACTGCACCACGTTCAAACAGCTGACCTCCATGGAAGAAGTCAAGGATGGACTTGTGTGTTTGTTTTACATAGCTTTCACAAGAGTGTACCTGTTTTTTCTCTTTTTTCTTTTCTTTCCTTCCCCGCCCCCCCCGAGAGCACTGTAAGGTAGTATGTTTTATCATCATGCCACAACTCAGCATCATAAAGCTGCCTACAGTGAGTTTCAGGAGGAAGAAAAATGGATTGGAACTACTTGAGAGAATCGTATCTGCTGTGTTGCAAAACATTGCGCATGGGATCTGTAAACTAAAGTATACGATCACATTGCTTATGTTTGATTAGGTGTGATTAGTGGTATAGTGGTATTATCTCTGTGCATTAATTCTTGTAATTGTACTTTTCAGATCAGCAGTTTCAAAATTTATCAAGTCGATATATCAGCTCTTGAAATGTGTCAAGGAATTTAGCAAACAGACCAGGGAGGAGGGCTTGAGTACAGCAGTTTATCACCTTTGGAAAGCGTTGTTAGACTGCCAACAGTGTGTAACAGATAGGCCAGCAATTCCTGCAAGATCTGCCACGGGTTACTGAGTTGAGGGCGTCCTCTAAAGGGTTACAGCTGTGGGTACAGCTGAGCGGTGTACTGTGTCACCACCCGGCACTTTGTACTGCCTATGCTCGTTTTTATTTTAAACAGATCCCTGGTGGTTTAACTGGATGGGATTCCCACCCCCCAGGCTTCTTAATGTGCCTTGCCAGTGGGTTTCAGCAGCACTGCATGGACATTCCCACATGAAAACAGGATAGTCAGGTGGGGTAGATAATTTAAGGATGAAGGCTTTGTGTGTATCCTTGAAAAATATCCTGCAGCAGTTTTCTGTGATTTCCTTTAATATTCAGCTCTGAAAGCTGCTAATCCAGTCTTGACATTTCAGAAAAGTACTCAAGCAATAATCAACCTTTTCCCTACAAAACGCATCCGTGGCTGGAAAGAGTTGTATATAGATTTTCTCTGTAACCCAAGAACACTTTTGTGAAGGAGGAGAAATGATAGTCAAGTTATGCAAGTAATATTAATATAAGATTTTTGCAAGTATTTTGTTAAAATACCTGGTGAATTCTTAGGTTTTTATCCTTTGTGTCTGGACCCAGCTATTGCTACTTGAATTCTGCAAACTGGAGCAGTGAAAGTTTTATTGCAGGTGGCTTATAGAGTACTCCTGCAGTGGGCTGTAAATAAAGATGGCAATTGTGTAATGAGGCAATTTATCACTGACTGCTAAAAGGCTAGAAGTTAAATGAATGGCTGACAGTGTAAGTGTAACTACTGGACCTGTTACTTGGCAAATTCTTATAGTTGATGTCAGGTCCACGTTTGCCTTACGTAAAGGGAACCCCTGTTCATATCTCGTAAGTGTCACTCATTTCTGATAGGAGAGGAGAGGATCATCTGGTCCTTGAAACGACAGATCTGCTAGTGAGCCTAATATTAAGAAATAGTACAAGCAGAGGAAATGAAGTGATACTGAAGGAAAGCAGGAGACCTACAGTTACGCAGCATTTTCCTCTGAATTGTTCCTCGTTGCCCTTTTTGGTTTGCTTACGCTGTGAGACCGCTGGCTGCCAGGCGCTGTAGCCTTGCACAGGTAAGGGGGAGCCACTCGCTCAGCCCGTGCTGTCCTGCTTGTTTCCAGGGAATGGAATTTCGCAGGGAATCTGACTGTTTGTACCGACTTGCTCATGGAGGTTTTTCACTTGCGGAGAGGTTTTGACGTATCCCTTGAATTCTGGGCAGCTGTCTCCAGAAATACTGTGTGTGAGGTTTGCTCATTACAGTCTTACTACTTGTGCTAATCTGATGGGGTTTGGGTTTTGTTTTTCTCTCTCCCTCTTTATTTAGATGAGAGATCCTTGGAGCAGCAAAATTTTTCCTTTTTCTCAATGGACTCCAAGATGCACCAAAGCATATCAGGCAGCAGGACACAAATGGCCTTAGCAAAAAGTACTTTGGAGTCCCGAGAAAGTAATTTCCTTCAAACGGTTTTATCACCAGTTACCACTCCCTTTGATGTGACTTTATTTGACGAAGAAGAAATGATCAGGATTTCAGAAGGGAGAAGTACACCGTTGGTAGATGTCTCCGTTACAAGCAATGAGGCATTCTTAAGTGATGATGAATTTATCAGCTCATTCCCAAAGGCACAGTGGACTCCTCCACTGAAGTCTTTTGCCGTTTTAACAGATCATCGCTCAGCTAATACAGTAGAGCAGCCAAGAGAAATGTTAGAAACTGCGTTGCTAACACCTTCATTACCTGTCCTTTTTTCACCATACGGTATCTCAAAACCAGCACAGCAAAAGACTCCGTTGAGCACTGTCCCTGAACGCAGCGATGCTCTTACAGAATTCAGCCTTTTTGTACCAGACAGTGAAATGCCAACAGCAAGCAGAGACTTGCTGCTGGACCCTCCAAACACAGCTGTTTATTTCACTTCCATTCCTTCAGAGGCAGGAGTTGCAGTGTGGGAAAACATAAATGCAAGTTCAACAGCTCTGTCTTCAGAGGCTGCTTCAGAGGGGCTGCCTCTTCCTCTCAAGCTGCCGGATGAAGCTCGCCCCGTGACCCCGGATGCCACAGCACAACGTGCAGACCCGTATGGTGACGTTTACACCGATGTGAGCAGCAGGGCAGCAGAAACTCTCAGTGTAAGGACCTACCCTGCTCCAAGCATTCCCTCGGCCACGCCGCCCTCAGCAGCCGGTGCTGAGCACGGGGTGTTTCCTATTAGTCTTCCACTTGCGTCTTTCCCGCTTCGCTCGGCTACCATTTCCACAGACTCTAATACGGTTCTTAATGCCAGCCTGTTTACACACGAATTCTCCAGGGCAGCACCAGATTTGCCTGCTGGTTCAGAAATACCAACTCAGTTGGAGCTTGTCGGTGAGCTCACGAGCCCAGTGCCTTTCACGAGATCGTACAGTTCTTGTCTGTATTGTGACTCAGTTTCCCTTCTGCCAGAAGCAGGCTTTTCCCCCGAACCTGATGGCTCAGGTGATGATGCTGAGACTTTGTCCATCAAGGCCTCTGAAATACAAGGCATAACTCCATTTACAACTATAATTACCGATGGGTATGAATTGGAGGAGCCTGCAACACCTGAGATTTTTGACACTTCTTTTCCATCAAGACCAGTTGTTTCATTTTCTTCAAAATTTGCAGAAATCCCTGATTCGGGCATGTTTTTATTAAGCACTACGGACACCGTCCTGACCGCCAGAATACCTGTAACAGTTTCTTCTTCCTACCATCAGCTTCCCGAAGGAACATCACTGGACGTCTCTGTTGCCCAGTTTTCCCTCCCTGTTCTGGAAACGCTCTCACTGACACCAAGCGCTCACGCGGAACTTCCCGGTGCCACCACCGCCCCGTTGGGCTCTGCCTTCGCCCCGGGCGGGCCGGTAGCATCGCTGGCAGTCAGTCACACAGCTTTGCCGCAGCTGCCAGAATTAATGCCATCAGAATCCGTGGTTTGGCCTGACAAGACATCTACAGGGGAGGAGCCGCCTTTAAATATTTCAGATTTTCCATCCCATCTTCCATCAACACCATTTCTTATTGAGCCGAGCTACTTGTCTTTATCACCGGCCACGCTAAAGTCTTACTTTGTCATGCAGAGTGATTTATCAACACTCTTACCTCAGACCTTGCTGACTGGGACGCCAGTACTTTCTGAGGATGTTTCCAGCTGGAATTTAGCTACCACCGTCAGCTCTGCCACTGGCGCCGAGGCTCCCTGGTTCCCTCTCAGCCGAACACCATACTTTCACTCAAACGCATCCTCCCTTCCAGGTGCGCGCGTTCCTGAAATCACGCCGCCGTCGGGTTTTCACTCCGAGCCGTCCGTGTTTCTGGGAGCACCCCCGGTTTCGCCAGCGGGCTCTGCAGTTGTGTTTGCCTCGGCTGCCGCGGGAGCCACCTCCCAGTCGGAGACTTCTCTCTCCCCCTCTCGCTCCGCGGCCCCTGCCCCGGCGCTGCCCGCTTCCGACACCCCGCCCGCTACCCGCGGCGCCTCGCTCGGCGCAACGGCGCTGAGCTCGTCGTTGACGACCTTGCCAGCCTCTCCCCTCTTCGGCGCGCCTTCCTCCCTGCTCTCAACCGCTCCGGCTTCTGAGGAGGGTGCGGGTGCCACGGTCACCCCCACGCTGCTGGTTAACCACACCGCCCTGCCTCCCGCGGACCCCGGCAGCCCGGCAGCGCCTGCCGGCGCCAGCAGCGCCGCGGCGCCGGTCCCCGCAGCACCCCCGTCCGCCACCGCCTCGGCGGCCCCCACCGCCGTGGGCAGCCGGGGGACCTTGCCCCCCACCCCTCCGGTGGCAGCCACTCCAGCTGCACCGGTGGCCGTCACCTCTGCTGTGGCCACTACCAGGCGACCCTACGTCTGCGACATCACGGCTCCCGATGCTTACTTAGTCACCGCGGGTAAGATGCTCCTCACCTTTCTGGTTTGGGTTTTTCAGAAGCCGCCGCCGCGTGACCCCCTAGCGAGACGGCAGGTGTTGAATTAGCTCGTGGGCTTTTCGGAGAAATCACGGCGTGAGTTCGGGCGAACGGCCGTAAAAGCATTGACTTGTCACTTATTCGTGAGAATAATAGAATTCGCTTGAACGAAGTCCGTTGTGACAGCAGGTTGTTACGCGCCCAGATACGTTACGCAACGGGCGTGTTGCACTGCACAGGGAGTGAAGTTGTCTTCTAAAATTGCTGACGCCTCTATCCAAGTATGCTGAATGAGAGGCTGCTTTGCCATTTCGTGGGTTGTAAATGAACGTTACTGTCGTGGCGCTGTTCTGCCGAACTATTAAATGTTCTGACTGAGTAAGTTTCTCCTTTCAGTTGTCGCTGCTGTTTGTAAAATCAAAAAAAAACCCTGCATGTGAGGTAATGCCGCAATACAAAAGGAGATGGTTGGTTTAAAAAACGCTTGGGTTTCGTTACCATTTTTATAATTTTATGTACTAACTTACGTTTATGTTTTCCCTCCTCCCATACTTACTTCAGTTGGACTTGGTGTGTTTGTAACCAGGAAAAGTGACATTAGTGTGTTTCAAAATTAATTCCCTCGGCATCTGTGTTTGCTTCTTTGGTGTTTTCCTACCTCTTCCTAGCTTGTTAACAAAACAATACCAGCAAAACTAATCCAAGGCAGCTGCAGAAGTGCTGCGTGTTCTGTGGTAAGCAACACATTTTGCCCTTAAGATTTACTTGTAATATGTAAGTCAAAATGAGCATAATCTCCAGATATGAAGGTGAGCTGGCTATGCTAGTGTGATGAGGAAGATTATTTTTTTAAAAAAAAAACCTGTAATTTGAGCAGTTTTGTAGGCAAGTTACTGATGGAAAATAAAGGCAGGAGGACAACAGGACACTTCTCAGTGGTTTCCTTGGCCACAGGCACAGTCTCAAGCGTGACTGTGACAGACACGACATCCACAGGGATGCGGGGTTTCTAAAGCAGTTTCTCACTCTGCGGATATCCCTTTCAGTAATTAATGTCTCGTTTGTTTACTTTTTATTTGAGAGAAAAGTCGATGCATGTTTTCTGTGGCTTTTTTCTGACCTCATCTGCATTCCATGCGTTGCCTACAAAACTTTAACTGTGTTATGACAGCAGGCTCGTTGTGCACGGGTCAGACTGAATGTGCTGCGACTTTCAGATCCACTCTGAATGCCTCAGTGGCTACTGTAGAACATTTTTCTACTGGAATGCTAAAGACATTAGGTATGGAAAAACAAAACGAGAGAAAGAATCTAAACCTGGAGTTCCTTAAACTGTAGGTACACTCACTTTTTAGGATACAGTCACACCTTTACCTGTTTCCTTGTCCATCGTCTTGTCAGTTTGATGCAGTTGATCTCATTGCCTGCTTTTTTCATGCATTGCACAATTGAAAACGCAGCTTTGAACCAAAGCCCAAGAGATAAAGCCAAAATGTATTTACTGACTGACATTAATTTCCAGTGCTGGCCCGAAGAGCTGTTCTACAAAATGTCAGTGAATCCATCAGAGAAGTGCTCCGAGTTCAGTTCAAGAGATCGGTGGAGATAGAGGTAAGTGGTATGAAGTGTGTACAACTGCTCTTTCATCAAGATAATACGATAGCGGTTTTAGTTCACAGACTAAAACAGTGATTTAAAAACAACCCTTGTGGTACTATAGCAGAGACGGGTTTATTCTAACTTAAATGTTAGTCATGCTTTGTTTTGGTTTTGTGTTTGGTTTTTTTTGTTTGTTTGTTTGTTTTGTTTTTTGTCTTTTGTTTGTTTGTTTTTTGTTTTTTTGTTTTTTTTTTTTAATGAGACTGTGACATCAGCTTTTTCACTTTTAGAATGTCATCATTTTCTAGGACAGACCTTTCTTGGTTGGGCAAGCAGTGCCCAGCCTCTACTGCTCACCTCCTTCGGCTGGTGAATTGAAACTGAACAGAAAAGCTTTTACCCTTCAAAATACCTGTTAAAAAGTTTTGGTTTTTTCTGCTGGCTGATTATATACTTAACACTTTAACCAAAACAAAACCTTTTGCATAGCCGTGCGCTATTTTATGTCACGAGGCCGTCAGCACTTGCAGGGGAAGTGGTAGAATGCCAAATGCAGGATTTGGCAGATGAACAAGGCAGGAAAAAGAAAAATCAGGAGTGCAATGGCAAGATGGTGTTGTTATTAAGCCTTCAAGATAGGTGTTACTCGTTCCCCCACTCACAGGCGTTGCTGTGCTCTTGGGGTTGAAAGCTTCCTCCGCTTTGATGTTCAAGGAGTCATCTGAACGGTATTTCAGTGTTGTTTCCTAACCTCAAAGTGAGTGGTTGAGATGAGGTTTAAGGGCTCTGTTCCCCGCCTCTATCTGAGAGGAAAAGACTGTAGAGGTAGTCTGGGAGTACCTTGGTTGTATAACCAGATACTTCAACACTGGGGACAAAACAAAATGTTCGAGTGGAATTACGGGTGCAGGCGCAGGTTCAGCTCCGCTTGCAGTTTTTCATGTCTGTGTTCATCCCGTTGCGATGGCCCACACACTTACCTTATCTTTTATCCTGTTGAGTCTACGATCTCATTTTCATTATGAAGTTAACTCAAGTAGCAGTTTGAATGTTGCACGTAACTTGAGTTTCTACATGTACAGAATCCCTTGGTGCCTTTAACTTCTGCTTGCCGACCTGTGTGGGGAAACAGTATTTTGACAGCTCCTACCATAATCGCTGCTCTCGGTAATTAAACAATTCCTGCCTGGTGTTTGAGACTATACCTCTATACTACTCGGTCAAGATAGGAGTGTTACAGATTTCTGCCAAACTTTAGTGAGCTGCCACTATAAATTATGTGTCATTTAGGTCCTTTTAGCAATACCTGCCTGTAAGCTTTTTAGGTGTTTTTTTTTTTTTGTAGATAAGAGATTTTTTTTTTCTTTTAATTTGTAAATTATACCTTCAGGTTGTGCCAGCTGGCCTGGACAGTCAGAAGTCAACCATTCATGATGATAGAACTACACTAATTTTCAGTGACCTTATATGCCTCAAGAATATGGAAGCACTTCCCCTTTTAATAGTAGCAGCAGTAAGACAAAATCTGTTGCTGAATGTTTGAAGGTTGATGGGAGCAAACATTTGATATCTTGCTGCTTTATATTTTTGCCCTTCAAATTCCTTCCTCTTGTGCCCACTATTGCCTTGTAAAGCTTTCAATAGGATGTTTTGGCCCGAAGGCTTCTCAGAAGCAACTGTTTTTATGACTAATGCAGTTAGTCCAGCTTCATTCTTTGCAAATTCTTTTTTATCAAAAGGAGAAAGCATCTCTGTGGAATCAGTTATGCTTCTTTTCTGCTAGAATGCTGCTGTCGTTTGTGTTCTTTGTGATGCTTTGGGTATGGGTCTTGCACTAAAAATAATCACTAGCAAATGTCTTCACCTCTAACGGTGGAGTACTAACAAAATATTTGAAAAAAAGAGCTCTCTGTAATATCAGTGTGTTGAGTGGTGACGTAATGCAAAATTTTAAACAGAATTTGTCTCTATTGCTAAACGTAATCAAACAGACCTGACTTTTGTTAGCCAGGAGTCCCCAGGAACCGTGTGTACATTTGCAAGTTATGGTAAGGCAGTGCACTCCTCTAAGCTGCTTTTTTACTGTGTCTCCTATTACCGCTCACAGATGTTGTTCCCTTGCTGTGATGTAATGCACAGTAAATCAGGAGACAGTCTCGTTAAATTTAACTTTGTCGTAATGTATGCTTTAAAAATAAAAACCATGGCAACAGTGGATGTAACTGCTGCTCGCTTTAACTACAAAACAAGTTTAACACTGAAAAGAGGGTTAAAACGTTTTTTTTTTTTTTTTTTCCCCAGCTTTTTCAGTTGAAGCTTTGGTCTCCGCTTCTTTATTGTTTCAAATGTTCTGAGTTGAAGTGGAAAAAAAAAAGAGGCAGGCTTGAATCCTGCCTAATGAAAAAAACTTTTGTCAATTTTTTCCTAGCAAAAGTCCTTACAGAAAAGTGAGGATAACCTAAAGTTTTAAAGTCCTTTCCAGTTGGTCTCAATGTATTGCATCTGCAAAAGAATAAGACCCTATTGTTTGAATAAGAGTAAATTTTGTCAACTTTCTCTAATGTAAACCTTATGACAGTTGGGTAAGATCTGTTACAAAATGTTCCTTTGACTTCGCTTGTTGCACTGGGACGTGAAATAAAATAAAGTTGGCAGTGACTTGCTGCCAGGACCCATGGTGCCATTAAGTTCATGCCAACAGAAAAAAGCTTTTTGCCAGCCTCATTGGTGCTTGAAAATTTTATCGTGCAGTATAATGTATACCTCAGCCACTTTGTTTCTGTATTTAATGGGGGGTTTGAGCCTGTCCCTAGCGTATTGGATTCTGTAATCCAAAATCAGTAAACCTCTGCCTTCAAAGCAAAGAGATCAGCTCACTGACAGATATCAAATACGTCAGGCAGTTAAATGCTTCTTTCAAAGATGCCACCTCGTGGGCTGGCGCTGGCTTCATCCCTGCTCACTGCTGCTGAAATTCTGGTCGGGACCATTTAGGCGTGTAAAAAGAGTGAGAGTTGTTGCATTCAGATTCTAAAGTGCGTCGAAGCAGAAGCTTAGTTCCATTTTTAGGACGTGGGACCCATCTTCGGGAAGTTAAATGCTCTCTGCAGGCTCTTCACAGGACGCTTAATAAGGTGGTGGTGTGGAAGTGGGATGTTTATGCTTTCTGCCAGATGTTTACACAGCATAATGCAGGGAGGCGTGGGCATGGATTAGCTTGTAGCAAAGGTGCATCTAGTTGACTATTTTAGCAGACAAGAACCAGTAGCAGATACTTAGGGAAGATCATGTAGGACAGAGCAAGCCTACAGTGATGTCTCCCCCAACTACTCTTCTAGCCTCTAGTAAATTGAGGCTTGAAAACTTTCTGTGTTAGAAGCAGCCTCCCTTGTGAGGGAAGCTTTGAATGAGATAGGTTGTGTCTTAGAAACAGCAGAGCTGGGTTAGCCATTGCACTTTGAAGAAGGAATAGCTTAACTTGAGGTGGCGTAAGGGTTCTCTGCTCCTGCTGAAGGTTTCTGCTTTTGCTGTGGGAACGCCTCCAGAGTGCACGTGGAGTTCTGTGTGCTTCTCCAGCTTCCTGGCCAAAAGTGGTCAGGTAAGAAATTTGTACTTGTTCACTTCAATGGGGTGGCACTCTAAAGCGTGTTGGTTCGGCTAGCTGATTTGTTGGCATCTGACTGTCTGGCAGTAGAGGTGAAGACTCCAGGAGAGGGGTCTGTGAACCATTAGAGCTGTGCCAGGAGGAGCTGTTCTTACTTGTGAATCAGGACTCATGAGCTGTGCTCATCTATCCTAGGTAACTTTGCAAACTTCTCTAAGAATTAGCTTCTAGGCAGACTCACGCTGGCGTGGCTGTGTTATTCCTGTCATCTGAATTAGGTCGTAGAGAGCTGACTCGAGACAGCCCTGCGTTCTTCGGCAGTTGCTTTCGCTCTTCTGCTGCAGTGAGGCACAAAACAAAATGGTGCTAGCTGTAAAGACAAAAGAGCCGATGCAGAATTTCAGGGAGTGTTTGGAGTAGGCTGGTTTTGTTGCATCTGCGGAGCACTGCAACAGCTCAGAGATGGAGACAGCCGAGTTGGTTATGAGAGGCTTGCTTTCTTGTCTGAAATACCTAACTCGAGGGCGTAAGTATCGGCTGGCTGTACTAGGCCTCTTTTCCTCACCATATATTGCTTTAAAAATCACCAGCAAGTTGTCACTGAGATTTGTAATTCTAATTCCTCTTTTTCTTGCCTTTTGTCTCCTTTGCAAGTAACAGGCAACTTTCTTTTGGCATGTCCTACACATAGAACTGCTGTTTCTGTTTGACAAGCTGAAGCTGCAGAGATCATTTCAACCTGAGATAAAAGGATAAAATTTCAGATAAGAGGAACTGAAAAGAGCTGTGCATATTACTCATATCAAACAAATTGGAGCTCTATGGGTCTAAATCCATTTAAAATAAAAGCTCGATGCTGCATAGATTTGTGGACTAAGAAGGAAGGAAAGAAGAATGAGCAGCACAGATTATTTCTTTTACTTCCTTCTGCTACCGAGGTAGTTATTTCTGGTGAAAATGGTCTCTTTGAAATGCATGGCTTTTAGAGGACAGGAAAGAGCAGCTTGCTGTCTCACCTAAACAGCAATTGCCTTCACTTTACACTATTGCAGAAATACCAGTAAGTAAGGTGAGTCACAACTTAAGTAGCACTGTGCTTTTCTATAGGGCTGATACTGACGTTGAGGATATCTAACGTATCCCTTCACCAGCACAAAGCCTGCAAGGTGCTAGCATCTCTTTATCTAAGAGGTACACGTTTATCAAAACCTTTGGGTCTCTGGTTTAGATTATGTATTTATTTGTGAGGCCGTCGTGTTGGACATCTCAAAATATTTTACTCTGACTGCCTTAAGCAAGTAAAGCAAACTGGGGGAGTAAACCAAAGAGTTGAAAAATAATGCTGGGGAAACTTGTGTCCTTGATATTGAGGCAGTTTCTCTGAAGGAGAGAAGACACTGCAGTATGTTTAAGTAAATAAAAGCCTTCAGTTTGTTTTTACTTGGGTGATGGAGAATTGGTGGATAAGAATGTCTGCACAGAAACATTCACCTAGGTTTATATTTAACTTACAGTCTCATTTCTTTTACATGATGACTAAAGGCTCCTCAGGGTTTTTAAGAAGACTCAAAGTCAGGAGGTGAATTGGAAGAGGAAAATTGTAATTGTGCTAACTGTGCTGAAATAAGCAGATAGGAGTGTTCCCCGGAAGAAAGCATTCTTGAGTGTGAAAATTATATTCATAAAACACCGGTTATGTGTATTTTGCTTCTTGCATATCACACCTGAATAGTATGGGATGTATTCGCTGTGCGGTGTCTGCCTGAAATGCAGAAGCTGTGCGAGCGCTTCAGTAAGTAAACGGCAATTTGGCGTGGGAACTCGTCGGTACTGCGGGGGAGTGCAGACGGGGGGGAGGGATGCTGTGCTGGGATGTGATAAATCGGTGAGGGTTGGGCTTGGTGTGTTGTGCTGAAGAGAATCTGGTAGGTGTGCCTGGCGCAGGGGGCTTGGCCGAGGCGCCGGAGCAGCGGCTGCAGGGCCTGGCACTGTCGGACTGTGTGTGCTTCTGCCCTCTCTTTGAAAAATACAGATTGCGTTTTCCTGCCTCTTGATGATGTGGCTTTGAAATGCGTGAGACTATGTAGGTCTAACATGTTGCCAAATTTTACATTGAATTTTTTTTTTTTTTTTTTTTTTCTTTTTGTTGCAGGTTTATAAAATTTCCCCCAAATTTGCTTTCTTGGTGACATCAGGTCCTTTTGTTTACACGGCAGTAGCTGTCATAAATGTGCTTGTGAACAGCAGCCTTCTTCGTGGTGAGGCCCCCATGATCCTCTCGTTGCATCCATCTTTTACTGTGCCAGATAACAGATTCCAAGTTCAGACAGGTGAGTTCTTCCTGACACAAAGAGGAGGAGATGTGGCTTCATGTTGATTCACACTTACTCGCTTACAATTAAATATGTAAGGTCAAGTCAAAGCCCTGCATTCTACTGCTGTGAATCTTAATTCTTGGTTGTTAGTGAAATACTTGATGGATCTGTGGTTGAAAAGATAAATTGTAGACAGTTAACCCCATCATTTCATGATTTTTTTCTTGCTTCAGAAGGTGAGAAGAGAAAAAAATTTCTGGGAAACACTTACTCATAAAATCACAGTGCAGCTACTTTATAATGCTTGAGTAAAGTTTCAAATTATGTTTACCTTAAATGCTACTTTTTAGAATTCTCATAGTGTAGGAGAATGGACGAGCAGAAGGGCCGACTGCCCGTGTAGTATTCAGCTTTCCATGGCTGCTGTATGGCAGCAGTTTATGTGGAGTCCATGACTGCTGGTAATCTAAAAGTAAAATATCATCCATGTCATAGATTTTGAGAGTCAATGGTATAGTTTAAAACACTCTTCAGGGACTGTTTGCATGACAAAACCACCTGCCTGGTTGGTCGAATGCCTAATGAGGTGTAGTAACAGGGATGAGTATATAGGTAGAAAACTAATGAATGTCAAACGTGGTGCCTTTGTTCAGGTGTGTTTCATGCGTTGTTTCTGCTCAGTTAATAACTGTATGGGAAGACATCACTTCTTTAGTGGTGCAGGTGTGATGTCTTTCTCCGCTGCTCAGCATGGTTATAGAGACAGACAGGAGACATGTTTTCTGTCCTTGACCCTGGTATAACATTGCTGTTAGGGTCTGTAACCTAATCAGAGCATTTCTTGGGGTAAGACTGTATCATGAAATCCACAGATGTGTGTGGAGTTAAGGTCTGTGTGCCTGCTCACATTCCTCTGCACTCACTCTTTCTCTCCTGTGAAGCACTTAAAGGTGTACGTATCTAGATTTAAAAGACTGGTTGCTAATTAAGTCTTTTGAAAGTGTTAGGCTGATACTAATATGCATTAATGGACCCAATATGTGGCCGTTTAGACAAGCTAAATACTATATTTCAGTCTACAAGAAAAGGAGATCTGTTGCTTCTTTCCTTAAGATTTTAATTCCTCTGACTACTAAGGATTTCATTGTGCCTGATTCAGTGTTCAAGTCACGTAAAATTACCCATATGTATGTAGTGAAGTATACAAGAGGAAACAGTGGGTTTTTTGTCAGTAGTATCTTTCAGTAATCTACTGAAATACCGCAACAAATATTAGTGAGTAGACAATTCACTGCACCAACGCAAAATGTATTTCAACTGTATTCTTACCCAGGGTTTCACTGAATATGTCCTGAATTCCACAAAAAAAGTGCTAGCCCTGTGGATCCTCTTGCTCGTTTTGTTCTCTCTCATGGAAGTATTTGTCTGTAGGAATAACGTGTACCCTTTGCCTTCAGTGCTTCAGTTTGTCCCTCGGAATGTGGATGTTGGGTTCTGCAACTTTAGCCGGCGCATTGAGAAAGGGCTGAGAACAGCTTTCATGGAGGTGAGCAAACACCAGGAATTCTACAACTTCACTGTGCAGGTAAGAAGAGTAGCATGTTTTGTGTATGTCCCCTTTCCTCCCCACCTTTGCTTGTCCTGTGTTTCCTCCAGCCAGTAAAATGAGTTAGGTGTTCACCGGCTGCCACTTGCCTTCTAGATCACGTAGAACTATGAGGCTTAGTTACAAAGTCAGGATTTTTTTCCCCTGCAAAATAATATGGCACCACGTATCAGGCTGATCTCAGGCTTTTTGAAAAAACGATCCAAGATGGTGATCTACATCCAAAAGCATTATGGAATATAATATGGTTTATGCTTTTCCATGTAAAGGCTGCCCCAACCCTTATCAAAGTCATTCCCACTAGATTGTACTGTTACTGAGTAGGGTGTGGTTAGAATGTTTTTACTGGAAGATGACTTTCAGGTCTCGTTGCTGCTCAGGGGGTCCTGTTAGGGAATATAGGAGTTACACGGACTCTGCCATTACATGAGCAAACATGCTAGTTGCTTATGAGGTCTAGAGATGTTTACAGTAGTATATGATGTCTGTGGCAGCTGCTACTGAAACTTCATATTTGAAATGTATTGCATATGTGCTGGGTACTGAATCACATAGGAGAGCTTAAAACTCCATGGAAAGTCGTTTAGTTTAATGAGACCAACTCCCTCTTCTGTCTGAATTCTTAAATTTAACCTAGCTTTGTTGTAATACCAAAATTAGTAAACATGTTATTGTGTTATTTAACTGGCACCGTAAATGCCCATCTGTGGTACCCTAAAATAAAATCATAGCAGAAAAAATGACATAAACTTTATAGGACCTAAAATGCTCAGAACTGTACAACTGAATGACACAGTGTGACAGGATGGACTGAAAACAACACGCACAACAATTTCTTAGACTATGGGCTTAGCAAACTTACTGTAAATACTTCCTTAGTGTCTGGAAGAGCTGTGTACATGCACACAGTTACTGTGCTATCAGGGAAGGAATGGAAATGCCAGTGATGTGATTTTGCTGATTATGCTTCAATCTTCTCTTTTCAGATACTGAATATAACTCTGAGTAGGCCTGGGATAGCGTTTCGTCAAGGACCCGTAAGCATTGTTTTTGCTGTCCGAAATAGATACGGTTTTCTAAATGGGTCCGAAGTCAGTGAGCAGCTAAGAAACTTGTCTGTGGTGGAATTCAGCTTCTACCTGGGCTTTCCTGTGCAGCAGATTGCTGAACGTGAGTACTTGCTGTTTGTCAAGACTGCAAAATACCTCTTTTAGTATTTCGTTCCTCTCTACAATTTTAAAGGGATTTTGTGCGTAAGTGATAATGCAGCATCAGGTGCCTGACTGGTCACGAATTCTGCAGAGCAAATACACATCTCTCTCTGCTCACATACTGCATATCAATCAGTGTTACAGCAACTTGTTGCTTTTGTCGTCGTCTTTTCCTTCCGCACTGGGCCAGTTGGGTTTAACCTGGCTTACTTTTCACTGGTCTTAGTCTGGATTGAAAGAAAAAAAAAAAAAAAAAAAAGCCACTTTGATTAGTATTGCTGTGAAGTGTGATCCGAGGTGTGTGTCTGTGGGTGTGTCTGCAGGGGTCTTTGCTGCTTCTCTGCAGGGTTTTACTGCCTTGGGCTTTGTGTTGCACTTACCTGGGCGCTTCCCAGGCCGTTGCCATTTTAAACCTGGATGAGTGGGAACTGCCTGCACAGCAGAGTTTGCTTGACACAGCCGTGACAGCTTCTGTTTGGTTAGATTCTTCAGGTGGACCTCAGTCTCATAAATAACCCAAGCTTCTAAACTCCCCACTTCTCCTTGTACACGGATGGATTGTTTGTGACAGAAGTGTCTCATGCATGTTAATCAAGATGATGAGAGAACAGTACCTGCTTTTCCTGGTGGCAGGTGTTACCATTAACCCAGTCTGTTAATTCCCAGTTTCTCCTGTGGCACTGTTTTCCCATGCAGATTTTTAATTATCAGAGTTCTTTTTGTGAGCTGTATAGGTGCACAGCACCTGACACAGTGATTCTCTCTATACAGTTAAACGTCGAGTGGAAAATCAGGCCTAATGGCAGCTGCTGTTCATTATGCAGCTGTACAGTAGCATGTCAGCAAAAATAACATGAGCACTTGGCAACAGTTGTTGTGTTCTACAGCACCTTTAAGTCTGTGTAAGATGACTGCACAGGATACGTTCCCAATGACTAGAAGCAGTGTAAACGTACTAAGTTTTTGAAATTTTTGTTCCAATTTTCCAGCATTTTGATCCCTCTGCTCCCATAATGGATTAACAAATGTGGCAGGTGGTTGTCTCATTTCCTTTAAACATTTCTGCTCTCCGTTGGTCTCGTACAGACTATACCTGTGCAGTGGTAGCTGTATTTAATAAAGCCAGGACTGAAAGCCTTGAGAATCCTTGTCTGTAGATGACTAGCATTTCTTTTGTTCCTTGTAAGGCCACAGAATTTCTCAGGCTGAGGGCTGTGGTCTTTAGCTCACACTGGGTTCAAATTAGATGTTGCTCTTGCCTTGATTGCTTGGAAGACATTTCTCTTTACTCTGCGTTGTCTCTCCTGTACCTTTGCCCTAGAGTTTATTACTTTGGGTCTCTTGGGTATTATTTTCAGTGTCACGGGGCTTTATTTTTCCTGTGATGTGCACACATCAGGCCCTACAGTTCTTAGTTTCATCCACGTACTCTGGAGTGATATTTGTAGTGAGTTTGCCGGCTGCCCCTTGCTGAGAATCCATCTTCTGGACTGTGTGTTGGAGCTACAGTGCACTTAAATGATAACAGAATTTCTACCAAGGCTGGTGCATCCTGAAAGACAGGCTGGTTATAGGGGAGAAACATTCCTATTAAACATGCATGCACACCGTTCTCTTTATTTTCCTTTCCTGATGGTACTTAGGAAATTTGAAGGTGATTTCTTCAGTGCTCATAGCAGGAGCTCTCCCTGTTCCCTGCGTGCTAAGAGCGCTGGGCCATGCCGGTGCAGCTCTGTGCTCACGTGTTAATGAGAGAGCTGCACAAAGTGGAGTGAGGGGGGTCAGGCAGGGCCTTTGGGAAAAGGTCCCGTTTGGATTTCTCCCCCTTTCCTGCCTACTCTGAGGATTTGCAGTGAAGTCGTGTAGGTGCTGGCTGTTGTGGCCTGGCAGATCCAGCCTCTGTTAATACAGTGGCATGTCCAAGCCCGTGGGTGAGTTATTTCTATTACTTTGTTTCTGAAGCTTCAGGAATTGTTTGTTCATTCCCGCTGGCAATTCTAAACAAGTGTGCCAACAGCGTGGTAATTTCATTCCTGCAAATTCCAGCACAGGCCTCCGGACTCAAACACAAAATTATTCTTCCTCCCCTCAAATCCACCAAATCTCCCAAACAATACCAAACCTCAAATCCTCGAGCAGACCCTTAGTGTAGGAAGTCAGAGTTACTCATCAGTGGTGACTAAGTCCATCGTGATACACACTTTATTCCCAGATTCTCCTACTTGGAGCTCTTGAAAAATGCTGTTTCTTTGGTGCGCATCCCCAGCCGCAGGGATGATGATAGCTGAAGAAGCTACGTCTACACTCCTGCCTTCAGTGACCCCACCTAACTGCTGCCACGGCTTACTGAATGAATCTTGCCAACAGAGCGTAGCACTTGCTTCAGAGATCTTAGCCAGTGTGGTGGTGGTGGTGGTGTCTCTTAGTTTGTTTGGTAGCGAAATTTTGAAGATGACCTTCAGAATGGTCTAGACTGAATTTTCAAAACCTTGAATGTTGTATTAAAATCAATAAAATACATGTAATAAATAAAATCAAGATACTACATTTCAATTTAGTAATTTGGAATTTTTAGGAACAATGAGATCTTCTCAAAGTTTGCAATGTAGAAGACATGAGGATTTGGTGGATGTGATGCCATAAATCCAGGAGTATCTTGTCAGCAGTTGACTTGCTTTGACTTGCTTGTTGCTAGAGGAACTCAAATTTACTGTAGATTGAGGCCACTACAGGACCTTGTCTAGTTTGGCCATGTTTGTAGTCACTGTTCTGGAATACCAGACATGATGCCATTTGATAAGTCAGCAAAGTGGGAACAGTTTCTCAGCTTGTTGCAGCTAGGGGTCTGTCTGTCAGCAAGCGCAGTAGTGAGCGTAGCTCATGTGCTTTTGTAAGTGCGGCAACCACACTCGGTTATTTTTAGCTGTTTCTACAGTTTTCTTGCACTGTTGCTGTGACTGTATTTGGAGCCAAAGGATTTTAGATCTTTGGTATTCATAGCCAGAAATCCCGTCCAAAGGTTCAGCGGCATTGGGCAGACCCTCCGTGAGACATCTTATTCAGCAGTCTGTTGAGGATGACCAGCAGCCAGATCCTCAGAGCTACTTTGGCAGGAAGGTGCCTAAATTATTTTGTTTTTTAGGCCCCGAACTCTCTGCATTTGTGCTCTCCTTCGGTCTACAGAGCAGGTGTAGCAGGGAAGGTGGTGTGAAGATCTTCCTTAGATAGGTAGCTGCTTTGCTCTGTGCAAATTAATATGCAACCCTCTGCTTTTCAGTGTGACTTTTAGGGGGAATTTGGGGTATTTGCATATAAACAATTTATGTATGATATTATTTATGTGTAAATATGAAATGTTCCATGCCATACTGTTCTATTCCATTTGTGCCTTAGTTACCAGGCATGGTAACAGTTCATACTCTTGGTGGTGACTCTCCCCCCGCCCTACCCTGAGGACTCTGTAGATGATTTTGTAAGCTTTATACTCTGCATTTGAAGAGAAAGAAATGATTTGTAGGTGAGCTGAGCTGTCGGGGGGTTGAAGTTGATTCATACTAAGGAAAAGCTACTTTAGTAATATCACTGTATCTCAGCACTGCTAAGTGAAGTGAGACCTTGCCATCGATATCCCAAATATGAGCCTTGTTTGAAGGAATGTATTTGCTTCCCGCTGCTCGTTCACTTCACACTGCCTTTCGCACACAGTCCTTTCACTGTTTGGTTGTTTTGTTTTGTTTTGTTTTGTTTTTTTTTCTCACATAACTAATATGTACTGTTTATACTTCCAACTGTGTGGGTTGTCCCCAGGTGGTACTTCATTAACAACAGGAATTTTTTGTCAGCTTATTTCCACTCATTTAGAGTCAGGGTCAGTAGTGAAATGAAAGTTGTTAGTCTGACAGAATGAACTGTTCTGTGCAGGAATAGGGCTGTTGGAGTGGCCAAACCTGGAAACTTCCAGACTTTTTTTCTTTCCTCCCCCAGACTTCTATTTGACTTCAGCAACAAGCTTATATTCAGATGTTCTGTTTACACCTTCCTGCATGCTTATATTGCATCGTCTACCTTATATTTCACGTTTTAAATTGTAAACTGGTTAGATGGGTATGAACGACATGTCAGCAGGAAGAAAACCAAGTATAGTCATGGTTTTTGGGGGCCAGTTCATTAAAAACAATAGAAAGGAATATATTTAGGGATCTCTTTATGGGTGGAAGATTTTTGTGAGGACAGGCAAAGGCTAGCTGTGGACGAGATGAGGAATATTGTCCTTCATGAACTCACCCCAAATAAATCTCTTTGTTTTTACCAATACTTTAAATAGAGTGAGTTGGCTTGGGACACGCTATTTTTTCAGTGCCATAAGTAGCATTTTGGTGGGTGGCATCTATTTTAGATATGTGAGATGTTGCAAGGCCAGTAGGATAATGTAAAATCGCATGATGCCATTCAAAGACCGCAGAAATATTTGGCAGGTTTTTTCTGGGTGGATTCTGGATCAGACTTTTAGCAGATACAGCGTGCTGTTATTGCCCACGCCCCAATATTTATATGGAATCTTATTTTTCAGTTGACACCTCCTCGTTCCAAATACTGCATTTCCTCCATGCTTCATGTGACTGTTCCTCCGCTGATCGGAAGTAAGACTGATCAGTGTGTGCTGGTACCGGTTCTGGCTGGCAGGGTCCCCCACGTCCGTGTGAAGGGGTGAGAGGGATCCCTGTTGGAGCACCTGGTGAAGGCCTTGTGCAAGCGGTGTGCTCCAGGCTGCTGTCAGGAGGTGCCTGGGAAAACCCGTGATCCTTCGCCTTCTCAGCCAGCACTGAAGCAGTGCCGTTAGGTGGAGTGGCGCTTCAGGGCTGTCTACTGGAATCTCCTAACGCTCTAGCATCTGCTTCATTAATGCACCTTTAGCCGTTAGCAGGCCGGCTGCAATCTAACTAAAAATTGCGTTTTGTCTGTCCAGCTTTCCCCCTCGGAATAACAATCCTCCTGTGCCGGTTTTAATCATTAGTTCGTGGGGGCATCAGGAACCTTGCAGACACGATCTTGCTGCCGTGCTGAGGCTCCCGCTGCGCTCAGGATCCGGCCGTGTGTGGGTTGGCCAGGGACCCTGTCGTGGTTTGGGCCTGGTTGGCAGCCAACCCCAATGCAGCAGCTCTCTCCCCCTTCCACTCCGGCAATGAGAAGGGACAGAGAGCCAGGCTTGGGGTTCGAGATAGGACTGGGATGGGGGAGAATCCCCCTTTTATGATCACGAGCAAAAGGCAGACTCGTTAGGGGAAGAAAAAAAAGAACATACATTTATTACAGACACTAACAACACATAACAGAGTAGGACAGAGAGAAGCATTGCCACATCTTGAGAACACCTTCCCCCCACCCCTCCCTTCTTCCCGGGCTCAGCTCTGCTCCCGATATCTCTACCTCCTCCCCCAGTGGTGCAGGGGCAGGGAATGGGGGGTGCAGGCAGCGCTGCCACTTCCTTCATGTTCGGTGAGGGGAGTGTCCAAAACTTGTTACCCCCTGCTCCATCGTGGTCCCCCTCTCACAGCAGACAGTCCTCCACAAACTTTCTCCGACATGAGTCCCTCCCACGGGCCGCCGCGTTCCCCACACTGCTCCGTCATGGGTCACTAACTCCCTCCGACTGGATTCCCTCCCACGGCTGCAGCCCTTCCCGAGCTGCTCCGGCGTGGGACTCCCCCGCATGCTGCAATCCTCCCAGTGCTGAATTACAGCAGCGAGGCTGCCTTTTCCCATGAGACCCCGGCCTTCTTCGGGCACAGCACCTTGATCATCAGAGCAGGAACAACAGGCTGTAAATCGATGTCTGCTCCACCGTAGATCTCCATGGGTGGCAGGGGGGGCCGCCCTGCCGTCTCCCCACAGGATACAGGGGGGTCTCTGCTCCGGCACACCTCCCCCCTCCTTTCTTCCTCCGTTCCTCCACTGACCTTGGTGTTCACGCAGCTGCCCCAACTCCTCCTCACCAGTCCCACTGCCCGTCACCACGTCCCTTCTTGAATATGTTATCGCAGAGGCGCAGCCGATTGGCTCAGGTTTGGTGCAGAGGTGGAGCTGACGTGGAGCTGGGGGAGCTTCGAGAAGCTTCTCCCAGGGGGCCGCCCCGATAGCCCCCTCCCCTGCCACCAAAAAACCCCACCACTCACTCAACCCAGGGCAGACCCGAATGACCTGTGGAATAAGAGGAGGAGCCTGGATTTTCTCGCCTCTGAGCGTGGGTTCAGTCGCAGAGGCGCCCATCGTTTCATCCATTCTTTGTCAGGTTTTAGAACCCAGCCTCAGTTGCCAGTGATCACGGCACATCTTCCCTTTCAATTCCAAGATTTTTCTGCTCAAGTTGTTTTATTTTTAAATTTCATTAATTCTGTGAAAAGTTTAAGTGAGTAGTCATCCAGCAATTTGCATGAATTAAATCATTTTCAAGTACTAATTAGAAAAAGTGTGAAGAGCACATTAAGTATTGAGGGAAAACATGAGTTTGGTTTAGAAGGAGGAAGAAACTCACAACTGCTAGCAGTTCAAAGCTTTATGGCCATTGGAAAGTTTTTGATTTTCTTATCTTGCTCTTTCCATGCTTTGGAAAAACAATAGATACAGTTTAGTTTATGCTTTTTTGTTCAGGTTGTATTTCTAAATTGAGGTAAACAGTTGCATGACCAGAGTAAATAAAACCCCACTCAAAAAGCTGTAATCAGAAGAACGGTGTAGCAGGATGCAAAATGAAATGTATTTGATTAAATGGACTGTGAGGTGCTTTTTGTGTGTCTGAGAGGTTTGGAAATTTAATGCATCCTGGTCAGTGTATAGAGGGCCAGTGTTTCCTGTTCAGAATGAAAGACCATATTCTGATGCCCTTCTGAATAGTAAGTCACAAAGTACCTCCAGGTGGTTTTCTTGAAGCTAGTCATGCTATTATTGAAGTAGAGGTGGAATAAACAAATTTTCTTCTTTTTCCATAAGGCTATTTTTAAATCTGTGAAAATAAAAGGTACAATGTAACTACTGATTCTTTTGCTATTTCCTTAAAAAATTCGTAAGACTTTAAAGGGCAAAAGAACGAGTTTTTAGGTCCACAGACAGAGGTTGGCTACTCTACAAATTATTGCTTAATTAGAAAAATGGTAATTTTCTGTTTCTCTGACACATACAATAGTGGTGAACTATCCTACAACTGAAGACAATACATGTTTACTCTAAATTCATCTAGCATGGACCAGGTCATATAATTGTTATGTGCTGTGTTCTTTCTATCTATGAAATGGTTTAAAAATTAACCTTTGTATAATGCTTGGCAAACTGCATCTGGATTAAATATTTTGCGAAAGTTAAGACCATTCCTTTCCTTATTGCCATAGCGAAGCTTAAGACTTCCCTTGAGGAAACTGCTGGCCCAGCCCCCATCTTCACTTTTTCCCAACATGTCTTTACTGCTCTCCAGTGGAAACCTTAGGAAAACTCTCATCCTTACTGAAGTCAGTAGAAATAGACTTTATTTACTTCACTGGGACAAGGATTTCACTCTGGTGTAGAGGTTTTTTGGAAAAAATTGAGAAATTAAGAAAGCTTGGAGCCACCAAGCCAAACACAAAAGCCATGAGATTTGTCTACAGCAATGCTTCCACATGCATTTATTTGTGATTTTGTTAAAAAAAAAAAAAATAAGAAAAATGTCAAGGCGGTGTTTTTTAAATGCTTCCCCCTGCACAAGTCTGGAACACAAATCAGATATATATAGCTTTCTGCTTCCCATTTAGTATTTCATGTAGTTTCTACCTCAGAGAAGGTCTTTCATTCTGAGACACTCATGAGCTGCCTCATTGCCCTTTGAGCAAAAGTCTGATCCTGCAACTAGTTCGGTAAGAGTCACAATTCAGACGGTGAGCTTTTAAATTTCTAGGAGCAATGACCTCGGTACAGCAGCTTGAAGTCTTTCAGGTAATAAATCTGACTGCTTCAGTTAGCTTCTTTTTGTTCAGAGACAACTGGGGAGTGTGTGTTCGGAACACTTTCCTTTACCCTTGTGTCTGTTGTAGCCTCAGGAATAGTAATACATCTGTGTAAATAAGATGCTTACTGACAGTATAAATTATGAAGTGGCTTCTTTTTTTGTGTATGTTGTTGAGAATACTGTTCTTATGGATGTTTTTCTCCCATTCTGTTTTTCCTTCAGCCTTTCATTATCCTAAGCTTAATGTGTCTCGGTTGATGAAATCTTCCTGGGTGAGAACAGGTATGTACAGTCTCTGTGAGTAAGAGTGCAGTTATTTTTGTTAGCAGGATAAGTAGCCTACGTAAATATCGATAGCTTAGGGGTGCTGCATTTTTATGAAGTAATAACATGCCTGAGATGAATAAATTCTAAAACCAAATGCCTAGTGACCTGGAATATCTGGGAAATGTAATTCCTGGGTCTAGAATGAATTACTGCAATTCTTGGGTAATGCACACAAAGTAGTTTTTGTCTACAAAGCAGTTCGTTCTTAGTGAGACAGCTTACACTGTCAGGCATAAAGCGTCTATTCTGCATCCTGTCAATCAATATACCACATTGATTTTTCGTTTTTTATTTTAAGTGAAAATTAAAATTTTATTTGTGTGGTGCTTTCTACCAAAACATGCCAGGAATAAAACAGAATGAAAATAGATGTGTTCCAGGTAGACGAAAGAGTTTCATCACGTTTCAGGGGTCTCTGCTGATTCATTGACAGCAGATCCCTCCCACCCAAGTCTTCTGGATGTTTTATTCTGTAATCCACGGATCCGGGTGGGCTGTCGCACTTGGCTGCTCAAAGGCTGTCGAGGTTGCCTGCACTCTGTAGGTCCTACCTGCTTCTTTTAAGCAGAAAGCCTGAATGTTGACCAGGCTGTGCCTACCGAACGTGCCGTTAGGGTCCAGGTACACCAGTAGATACACTTTTCCCACAACTGTGCCACCCGTATTTCACCAGTTGTTAGAGACTTACTCTTTTTTCAGGTATCCCTGCCTCCTCTCACCAGTGACCCAGTTTACTTTTTAAGCAGGAGACCAAATTGCAACATAATTTCTGAAGCACACACCGTTTGTTTTAGAGAAAAAAATTCAGATCATGTTCCATAACATGAGAGAAGCTGCATGTGTATATCCCACATCCAATGTCATCCTTCCTTAGAGATTTATGTTGGCTTTTTTTGGTCACACCCCCACCTGCCCTTACTCAGCCTTAGGTTTGCTGCTTTGTCCATCATTGCTGGAAGCTCCTTTAGATCCTGCAGTAAGAAGATGGTTCTTCCAGCTCAGAAATCACATCCCGTTGGGTTTTTTAAAGCTTCCTGACTGTGAGATTTTGAAAGCCAGTTGCAGCACCTTTTTTTGCTATAGAGAAATTTTTTGTAATCTCAGTTCTTGGAGGCAGCCTGGGAAGAGCTGGTAGACTGGCTGGGTCAGACCTCTCAGTCTGTATATGATATCGTAAGGGTAATGACTCGTGATGTGGGAAAACGGTAGAATTTATGCACGTAAAGGTTTTTAATGTTAGATTACTCAGATATGTGCCCATGTATCCCAGTAGTCATAGAACGCTGGGGTATGCGGTGTTCTCTGTAACTGTCCCTCTCAGTTATAGAGTACAGTTCATGCTATTAAGCATAATTCATTAATACTGAAATTCAGTCCACAGGCAAAGCCAGTCTTCTACTTGCTGTATATAAAAGTCTTAGGCCACTGTCTATTTATCTTGCTATTTAATTCTGAGATACTCAGTCTATGATTGAATTTACAAGACAGATGCTGTTGATTTCTGTGAGAAATAATGAAAATGTTTCATTTTTGACGTCCGCAGTGAAAATTTTAAAAGGGAAAATGTTTTAATATTTTTGTTGTAAAAAATACAATAAAAAAACTATTTTTATCTAATTGGATGGCTTTTTATTAACCACTACACTTAAAAAAGTAAATATGAAAACATTTACTGAAGAAGGGACTTTGAACAGATAAAAACTGTTTTAGTGGAGATACACAGGAATGAAAACTGAATTGTTTCACTGTAGTCAGCAGTGAGTTGGTTTACTATCCTTTAAGATTGCTTAATGAGGTCATTTGAATGACTCTTGGTCCATTCACTCTACTTTTCTTTTACCGGATCCCATCTTGTTAGTAAAGGTCCACACTTTTTTCATGCTTCCTTCGTGTTGTTCCTCAGGGGTTCCTCTCAGCATCAGCTGCTCCAGTGACCCGGCGTGCCTGGGGCTGGGTGGGGAAGTGGGCAGAGCTACTCACCACTTGTTTTGTGCTATGATGGGCACAGTTGTTCACCTTATCTAGGGAAAGCGCACTTGGAATACACAGCTTCATGTGCTGCTGTTCTTCTCATCTTCGTCCTTGGTTGCAAACCCTTGCCCTGCCCATCTCCACCTCTGTATCACTTCTGAACACAATAGTTTGACTGAAAGTGGTTGCAGCAGATGATTTAGACTGAATTTTCTCTGCTATTTGTTTTTAAACAATTCATTGAATGCTCCTAAGTTTGGGGTTTTTTTTTAGAATTTATTTTTTTCTTTTAATATCCTGAGTCTCTCTAGCCTTGTTGAGATTCCAAAAATGCCCTCTGCCCTAATTTTTTTTTTTTTTTTAATTTTTTTCTGTTAACCTTTTCCCACCCAGAGTCTCCCTTTCCAACATGTAACCTCCAGCTGAACTGTTCAGTATTCCTATATGAATACAGCTGCTCTTGAATTGTCTGTGAGCGGTCACAGGATGACTCAAAGCTTGTAATTGAAGTTGCAGAAAAGACACTGAAAAGTTTTACTAATTGATTTGTGTTCTTGGGTTACTTTCTCTACAATGTAGTTCTCTTGGGTGTCGTCGACCAGCGAATTAAGGAGGAAGTGTTTCAGGCTGAGATGGAACGCAAGCTAGCTCACCTGTTAAACGAGGCTTTGGTCAGAGGGCGGATATGGAGACGAGCCAGTTTGGCAGGCAGCAACATTGTGCAGGTATTAAAAGCTCAAAGTCAGGGGAAAAAATAAAGGGTAATAACTTACTGAAAAAGTTAATGTTGTCCAGATTTTGAATTGAGAAAGGTAACTCAAAAGCATGTATCACGTTTAGCTAGTTGATGATGCTTGTGTTCTGCACCTAAAATATGGTTCTTTTGATAACTTTCCGTCTTTTAAGCTAAACATATAACAAAATGAAACAACTGCGTATTTTAAGTGGCTACTAAAAAATTCTGATGACTGCTTAAAAATGGTGTTGAAAATTATTTTACCAACATCCTATTTTTAAAACTTGCCAGCTTGTCTGACTTACGTGAGGTGCCTAGCAAAAGGAGGCAGGATGGTCATTTGCATCAAAAAAGTACTGTTCTGGAACAGCTACTGCACAGCCCTCCGTGGTGTTTTGGTGGTGGTGTGAAAATATGAAACAGAATCATGCGCAGCTTGACGCAGCAGTACCGTAGTCTGTTCTACCCCTTAACTGCCTATTTGTCACAGTACTCCTGGTCACAGGAGTGGCGTTCAAGTAAGAATGATTAATCATGTCGAAATTTGCACACATGGCACCTTCTGCTATCTGGATTACAGTTCAGCTTCGTAGTTTTGTCTCAGGTGGAATTATTCACACAATGGCCAGGAAGACTTGGATATTTAATTTTAAGTTTTAAATTCTCACATGTGTTCTTTCTAATTAGTTCAACAAACTGAAAGCCAAAGTGCTTTTTAATGGTTCATCTTCTTAAAAATTGCTTTTTCCAGCTATTTCATCGACAGTTGGTTTATCTCACAGATGGCCTTCTAGTAGTTCACACCTATTATCTTTATTTAATTTAATCCTACAGTTTTTGCTACCACTTAAATTTCCAGATGTTGGGATTTTTTACTTTTGTTTTCCTGTCTTAGAAACATCTGTTTCAGTAATAGAGATTTTATTTAATTTTCTTTTGTGCAGCTTTGAATTGCTGTAAATAGATGTCTGCTTCAGATCTTCTATTCCCAACACCTCTTATTGCACTTTCTTCTTTATACCTCAGCCCTCCCTTTGCATATAAATTAAACAAATATTCCTTATGTTGCTAGCAGAGGTACCACAGCCTAGAAGATGTGTATGTGTAGATTTCAGTTTTACGATTTTACATAATAAAGTTCAGGTAATTTATTTTTACATGCACAAAATTACGAACAGATCCTTTCTAGCTAAAGAATAGTGTTTCAGAAAGTGAAAATACAGCGTTTTTCTTATGACTTGCTTACTGGCACATAAGGTGAGGTCTGCAGCTCATGTTTCAAAGATCAGTGCTGCTCATTTATGTCACTTAACTAGTGAAAAGAGTCTGCAAACTGCAGTCTTTGGGCAGTGGGGGATTCTCTCGGTTCCAGTCAACAGATCACACCATCTGACGTAACCCAGCAGGGCTTCAGCGGGTGCTCACAGCCCGCGCTGGTAGATCAGTGTGATGAAGGAGATGTGGAAGAAGGAAGGCTGCAGGAGATAATTTCCCACTGGGTGTCTGTGGTAGGTGTCCTGCTTCCCTGCACAGGAACGGTGGGTACCATCAGGTACCGTTGCTTCTTGGCATCTTGCTTTGGCAGGATGCTCAGGTGTGTGGTATGGGAGAGAGCCTTGGAGGCTACTGTGTGCAGCTGGAGTGATGCCCCTGGTAGTGGAGGACGATTTCTTGGAGGGATGCTCCCCTCTCTGTTGAGGACCTGGTCTGTAGTCATTTGCAATAAACCTTTTAGTTTTACGGCTGTTAATTCTATTCCTCACAGCCAAGTTTATGAGCTGTGTTTGAAGTGTGTTGTATGTATACGTCTGTGTCTTCTGGGAGAGTTATGCATGTTCTTTGTGTTTTATATTCAGAATTTCCCATATATATTTCTTGTGCACAAATCAACGACTGCTATGATAGTAGGCCACAGTGAAATGAAAATAAGAACAGAAGGTGCCAGCAACACCAAAGTTTTGGATACTTTTATTAATAGGACATGCATACATCCACAAAAGACTAGACACATGTTTCGCTCGTGTTGAGCCCCTACAGACCGGAGTTTTTCCTGAGGTGATAGATATATATAGTGTATTGAAATGTGACATTTTTCAGCTCTGTGGAAAATGAGGACTGTGGGTCAGAAGGTGAAGCAATTATTTGTGAACGTTACTGCAGGCATATTAGTTTCCTTTCACACACTAAGAAAATAGAAGTAATACCTTGTGAGGTTTAGAATTAATTTCTAAAGGCATGTTTTAGGATCTAAGAATGTTAAAAATTACTCTAAGTCTAGACACTTTGAATAAGAGCTTTGGACTACCTAGGGTGCCCAAATAGCATACCTTCCCCTCCCATTTGCCTATCTGTGCTGTTCACAGGTGGGAATCCATGATTAAAAAAAAAAAAAAAAAAGAAAATACCTATAAACATTATGTACAAAAAACCCTCTGAAGCCTCACACCTGGCTGTTTTACGTGAGAGAGTTCCATTTATTTTTGTGTGATTCTTGTATTTATGTTTCACAGAGCAAATAATGCATATTTTCAATATGTATCTGCTGTTACTGCAAATTTGAAGGCACGTGTTTAATGTGGTTTGCATTGCATCTGCAGAGGCTAGTCCCTATGCTATATTTCATCAGTAGTTTACCATAATAACTCAATTCTCATTACTTTTTTTTTATCATAGCATGGTTGGGTTGGAAGGGACCTTAAAGATCATCTAGTTCCACCCCCCCCTGCCCCGGGCAGGGCCCCCTTCCCCCAGCCCAGGGGGCTCCCAGCCCCGTCCAACCTGGCCTTGAACCCTCCCAGGGAGGGGGCAGCCACAGCTGCTCTGGGCACCCGGGGCCAGCGCCTCACCCCCCGCACAGGGAAGGATTTCTTCCTTACATCTAATCTAAGTCTACCCTCTTTCAGTTTAAAACCCTTACCCCTCACCCTGTCACTACACCCCCTGACCCAGAGTCCCTCCCCACCTCTCCTGCCCCCCCTTTAAGCCCTGGGAGGCTGCTCGAAGGGCTCCCCGGACCCTTCTCTTCTCCAGGCTGAACCCCCCAACTCTCTCAGCCCGGCCTCCCAGGGGAGCTGCTCCAGCCCCCCCAGCATCTCCGTGGCCCCCTCTGGGCACACCTGATCATGTCCATGTCATTATTATACTGCGGGCCCCGGAGCTGAATGCCGTACTCTGGGTGGGGTCTCAGGAGCTCAGAGCAGAGGGGCTGAATCCCCCCCCTCGCCCTGCTGCCCACACTTGCTGCAGCCCAGGACACGGTTGGCTTTCTGGGCAGTGAGCACACCTTGCTGGCTCACAGTTTTCCATCCATTACTACTCCCAAGTCCTTCTCCGCAGGGCTGCTCTCAATCCACTCATCGCCCAGCCTGGATCTGTGTTTGGGATTGCCTCGACTCATGTGCAAGACATTGCACTTGGCCTCGTTGAACTGCATGAGGCTTGCACGGTCCCACCTCTCCAGCCTGCCACGGTCCCTCGGGACGGCATCCCTGCCCTCCAGCGTGTTGACCTCACCACACAGCTCGGTCTCATCAGCAAACTTGCTGAGAGTGCCCTCGATCCCACTGTCAGTGTCACCAGCAAAGCTGTTAAGCAGCGTGGGGCCCGCTACCAACCCCTGAGGAACGCCACTCATCCCTGCTCTCCACTTGGACACTGGGCCATTGACTGCAGGTCTTTGGGTATGACCATCCAGCCAAGTTCTTGTCCACGGAGTGGCCCATCCAGCAAACCCACGTCTCTCCAATTTAGAGACAAGAATGTTGTTTGGGACAGTGTCACATGCTTTGCACAAGTCGAGGTAGATGATGTTAGCTACTCTTCCCTTATCTGCTGATGCTGTAACGCTGTTGTAGAAGGCCACCAAATTTGCCAGGCATGATTTGTCCTTAGTGAAGCTGTGTTGTCTGTCACCAATCACCTCCTTATTTTCCATGTGCCCTGGCATAGTTTCCAGGAGGATCTGTTCCATGATCTTGCCAGGCACAGAGGTGAGACTGAGTGGCCTCTAGTTCCTCAGGTCTTCCTTTTTAGTCCCCTTTTTAAAAATGAGAGGCTATGTTTCCCCTTTTCCAGCCAGCGGTGACCTCACCAGACCGCCATGACTTCTCAAGTATGAAGAATAGTGGCTTCACGACTTCATCCAGCATTTCCCTCAGGACCCGTGAATGCATCTCATCAAGTCCCATGGATTTGTGCACCTTCAGGTTCCTTAGGTAGTCTCCAACCTGACCTTCTCCTACGGTAGGCAGTTCCTCATTCTCCCAGTCCCTACCCTCGCCTTCTGCATCTTGGGTGGTGTGGCTGGAGTCCTTGCCAGTGAAGACTGCGGCAAAAAAGTTGTTGAGCACCTCAGCCTTCTCCATATCCCGGGTAGCCAGGTCTCTTGTTGCCCTTGACGTCCTTGGCTAGATTTAATTCTATCGGTTATGAGGAATTAAATGACTTAACTGTAGTTTAAGAAGACACCAGGAGCTAATACGAAAATAATTAATTTTCCTTCATTTCGGCATGCTTGGTCTTTGAACCTAATAGAAGGAGAAAAGGTGCCCCTAGCAGGTGACAAAAAGAACAACGTTCTGATTTAAAGAGCACATTGGGCGACACTGTAGTTGTAACGTGTGCGAGGAAGCGGTACTTATGAGGGGACATAAGGACTGAACTGAACTTTTCATTAAGGCAGAGGTTTATTCTCTCATTTTTTTTTACCAACATCTCCAGGGTGTGCAATCTGAGAAAAGGCCCAGCCTTGCTGGGAGTTTCTGGGTGTTGGAATGGAGCCTTTGGGGGCAGCTGCGGCTTCACCTTCTCCTCGGAGGCGTTCTGCCCCTCCGCCGGCCGCCCTGGGCAGCGGCTGGCCGCTCCGCCAGGCTGCCCGCAGCCCCCTCCTTCCCCTGTTTTGGCAAGCCGGGTCCTGTGCGGGCCAGGCCTGTGCGGGCCAGGCCTGTGCGGGCCAGGCCGGTGCGGGCCAGGCCTGTGCGGGCCAGGCCGGTGCGGGCCAGGCCTGTGCGGGCCAGGCCTGTGCGGGCCAGGCCGGTGCGGGCCAGGCCTGTGCGGGCCGAGGGGAGGGAGCTGAGGGCCCGCACGCGGCGCTGCCACGCTGCGTCCCCGCGGGAGCCCCCTCAGCCCCAGGGCTGGCTGCCGGCCCTGTCTGCTTTGCAGCCCCTTTCTGGTGCCTTGCCTCCTGAGCCCTTCAGCTTCATCTCTTTGCCTGGACGCTGAAGTCCTACTTTCAAAGTGACGGAAAGCAGAATCTTTTTCGATTCTTTTTTTCCCAAGGGGATGAGCGTGGTGAACAAGGCGAAACAGCCCTTGTTACATGCGTTTTGGAGGTCCTGTGTGTGTGTGTGTGTGTGTGTGTTTGCTTGTTTCTAAGTAATGCTCACGCCTCCAAAACGCTGAACCAGGTCACCCAAGGATTCCTTACTCCTGACTGGTTTGCTGACTGCGACATCCCACCGGCTGACTGACAATCTGCAATTGTCTTACATTTGCTTGCCCACCACCTGGATTTCCCCTCTTTAAATTATGAACTAGATTTGGTTGCCAAGGCAACTCTGTTCACTGACCTGTGATATTCTCTTGGAAACACTTTTTAAATTAAATTTACTGAGACCTGAACACGGTTAAGTCTTTACTCTGTGGAGGTTAAATGCACATCTAGTATCAACAAAGGTGGTATCATTTATGTACACAGAAGTTGAATTAGTCTTTTTTTATTATTATTATTTTCATTTTCTGCCTCCCATGTATTGAAATTCTTGTATCTTCTACCTCCCTGTGTCATCCCTCGCTGCCAGAGTATAAATGTAAAATGTTTAAATGCTTCCATACACATGGGCTGCTTTGCTGGATGCCTGGAAAATACCATTTCTGCCTCTGCTTGCATTCTTAGCACTCTCACAGATAGAGACATCTCTGTAAAATATGAGACAAAACCAATCTGAATCTGCACAGAGTATAATTGGGAGCAAAATGGCACAAAACTTAGTGTACAGAAACTGTGTAAAAAAATTAGCCCAGTGGCTGTGTTACCTCAGTTTTATAAACAGACTTAAAGCCAATTCAGATCCAGCGTGCCATTTTCTGTGTTGCAGCAAACTCATAAACTCAGAGGTTAGGTTAAAAAAACAAAACAAAAAGCCCCAAACAAAGAAACCCCATTTTTTAGTGAATCAGTGTGACAGAGATGGAAACTGAAGTAGCAATACTGTCACGCTTGCTGTGTTTATGTAGAAGTCCAGTGGTCTTGTAGTCACCCCAAGAATACCCTGGTCAGCCATCAGCTTTCCCAGAATAGAAATCCATTACCATCTCCCCTAGGGTCTGAAATTTCATCTGCTCAGTATGGTGTGAGCAGTCATAAAATAGCATGTATTCAGAATGAAGTATTTCAGAGAAAACTTCCCGTAAAATACGGAGCTTCGTTCATCAGCACCAGCCTGCGCCTCCACTCTCCCATGAATTTCTTCATGCTCGTTCCCATGTTCTCTATATTGTGCCGAAATACTTCCAGCTACCTCTTCCTATCTCCACTCTGTTCTCACCCATCCCTGTTCCTCAGCATAGGGAGCCATACACAGTTGTTTTTAATCCTGTGTGAAAAATTGTATTAAGTTGCGCCAGCTTGCACTGGAGTCTGTCCTCCTCCTCCTCTGCCCTTTCTAAAGGCAGCTGTGGAGAAGTTCCTTTTTAAACCCACTCAGCCAGCTTCTGACTGCTACCCTGTGTGTGTCACACACATATAATTACAGTAGTACTTGGATACTCCACAACGCCATAAAATGTATGATGATTCAATTTAAGGATCTTCTGAATTTCTCCGATTCTGTAGCTTTGCCATATACACAGAGAGGTTTCATAAAATTAAACAAAGAACCCCTTGACTTCCAGTCCCACGTGGCCTTTCAACTCCCTCACTCTCCCCGTGAGTTAAGTGCTCCTTAAGAAGAGTTGCTCGGTGCTGAGGGCAGAGACGAGTGCCTGCGCCCTGCTGCTCCGTGCGCTGCAGCCAGGCTGCGGTGCGGGCAGCCCAGCTGAAACAGGAACAGAGAGCTGTGGACATTTGCTTGAGTAATGGTATATCTGGGTTCCATGAAGCCAGATTCAGCCTTACAGCTGCTGAATATGTGTGTTGAAACCTTATTTATTGATATTCTTCTGTTACCTTCAGTCAGGGATTGGCTGCCCCTTAGCTGGTAAGAGAGCGAATAGCGTTCAGGATGAGAAGCAGCACTGGTTAACGAGTCCTGTTAGCAAGTCTTGCTGTGTTTCCAGAAATTCACACATTCTTCTGCTCTATTGGTAGGTGTCCCGTTTCTTACATGAAACGTGACTGATGCTGAACATTACTCTTTCAGTTGATTTGGCCTAAAAGACTTCCATGACAATTGTGCTTTCTCTTTTTTTCCTTTTATTTTATTTATCCTATACCGTGCAATTACCACTCCTAGGAAATGCTTTTTTAGGACATACTGAGTTCATGTCTCCAAAGACCAGAACATCATCCCTGTTGAGCTACAACATTGTACTGCTTTCCTTCAACATGATTGTTTTGTTGGAAACTAGGAAGGAAAACAATATGAAGCTTTGCTTTTGTAAGCCTCAGACATGCAAACGTGTGTGTTTGCTTTACTTTAAGCCTGTGGGCAGTGTTTGAGATTCTAATTTATTAAATGTGTACTTCATAGTAAAGAATAGTTCTGAAGGAAGCAAAATACATCGTTCTGTTTGTGGCAATTCCTTCCAGAGCTTCTCAAACTCTGTTTTAAATGATACAATACCTCCTGCTATTTCTTTGGCCTAATTCTAGGTTGAACTCACTATTACATGTAAATGGTTAAACAGAGAGTAGTTATTACATGTAAGATCTAATTTTACAGGAATTCAAAATTGTTATGTGATTCTCATATGCAATGTAGATGTTTGGTGGTTAGAGAGCGTATCTACAGGGCTTCCTCATAGCATGCATTCTTTTGATTATTAACATCTTTAGAACTAGGTAGGAGGAATTGCTTCCCACAGCATCAAATCTATTCCTTCCTGAGGAGAGGTGGATGCCGGGGGAGCTCCTTGGAGGATAAAGGTGACTGCAGGTGCTTCCATTGAGGAAGAGCAAACAGTTCTATCTGAAGCTAACAGAATATTTACCTGTGTGGCTGCTTAACGTTTGGAAAAACTGGAACAAAGAGGTGTGTGTTATGAATAAAGCAAAGTCAAAGTGTGTATTTAGAGAAGGGAAAAGTGCAATCACTCCAATCTCTTCAGTAGCTCCTGCTAACCGGCAAACGCTAAAGGCAGTGTGAGGCTTCCAGGGCGGCACAGTGTTGGCATCTTCAGAGTGAAAGCAGTTCTCTTACTTTGGTACTGGATCTGTGCGTTGTCATGGAACAAATAGCGAAAAAAAAAAAAATGGAAACTTCAGGTTTGCCATAGAAATGTATTATACAAGGGATTGTTTCCCTGGAATTTTTCATTTCAGTTACAACATAGATATTTCTGTAAATTTCCCGGGGTCCTGGAGCACTTGAGTGGTACTCGTGTGATTGGGCACCGATACATTATTCCCGCAATGTTGTCTTGCCCTGGAAGACTCCCACTCAGAATCTTTTGTGTAAGTATTAAGTGAAAACATCCTGAATTTTAGTTTGGAAACAGATTACTATTACTGAGTATTAGCTTTGTGTATCTGTGCTTGCCCAACATTGTCTTAAGTTCTTCTGAGATGAAGGAACTAGCTGGTGTGTATGCTGCCTTTGCTGCATACAGTATTTTGGAGCGCTACGCGTGACGCCTTCCCATCAGACTTCTCTGGATATTGACAATTTCCAAACTGTACCAGTTCACAGCAGTTACGTGGTTAGTATAACATCCATCCTATTCTTTGGTGTCACAGATAGAGGGATTTCCTTTAACAGGAATTGTATTTCTACATCATAATACAAGATGGAATCTTGCACGCAGTGGCAGTTAAGAGATAGTGATGCCATCTTGGCAAAGCTGTTTTGAATGTTTATTTTTACGTAAGTGTCCTTAAGGTCCAGCCCCTGTGAAGGAAAGGGGGAGAGAGGGTAAGGACTGAAAGACCAAATGTATGGGAGCCTCAAATAAGTACAACTTAAAATATAAAAGCTTTCCAATTTCTTTCCAGATTGTGAACGTGTCACGGTTAGTTGGTGTTGATAACCCTGTGGAGCTGATCTATTTTGTGGAGGACCAAGGTGGAGAGAGACTCAGTGCTCTGAAGTGCTCCGACCTGATGAACAGAGTTGATATCCAGCGGGCTGCAATCATCCTTGGGTACCGCATTGAAGGCACCGTTGCACAGCGTAAGCCCCGTCAGATCCACCCTGATGCCGGCAGAGAGAAACGGGAAGGGTGACATTAGCTTTGAGGTTTACGGCGCTGCGTGGTGCCCACGGTGGCAGTGTTTTCTTTTGGGGACGCTGCAATTTTGACCCTCCTGAGGAAATACGTTTTAGCGGTCCTGCAGTGAGCTACGTGCTGTTGCTTTTGCTTCTTGAAGACTCTGCTGAGCTTGCAATTGCAGCAGGGTCCTTAAGTGCAAGCCTCGCTGCATTCACTTTAGAGCTTGTGCGAGAAGAATGCTGTGCAAACTAGATGCTTTCTTGCCATTTTCATCTCCTTCCGCTAGCCCAATATTTCTTTACAGCTTATCTTGCCCAGGGGCTTGCACAGAACTCCCAGTTGTGGGATTGGAGAGCGTCAGTGTGAAATGGGTGTTGCCTTCAGCTGAGTAATGGCAGTGAAGTTTAATACAAGTTACTAGTTTTGGTTTGTCTGAATTATTGTTTCTGTGAGTGAAAGATGTCGGCTAATGCCATCTGGGGCACTTTGAAGGGTATAAGCAAAAAGAAAGTTTATTTCCTCCATTGAATAAAAATGACCTTATTTTTATTTGTTTGTCCATCAGTGGTACATAAGTAATGTGATCTTTTAATAAAGATAATATAAAAGTAAAGTGAACTTTTGCTAGATACACATCAGAATAAATATGGCAGCTCATACAAAGTCATATCATGACTTTAATCAGGAAGCTTGGTGTAGAAATAATTTACAGTAAGAAGTGAAACAGGAGACCTACTCAAAATTCCATGCTAGGATTAGGAAAGAAACTTGAAAGTATTTTAAAACAGTAACAGATGTGTATATGATCTTCAAAATATCTCATTGATATGAATGCTCAATTACCTTTTCCCTTTTCTGTGCAATATGGAGGCATAAGTTATATTGTACCACAGGGTATTTTGCCAATAGAACAAGCATGTATCTGTTTTATAAATTCTCTGCAGAATGAAAAGAAAGAAAATAGTAATAATTGCACTATCAGGATGTGTTTCTAAATTTTGTCCCTCGTGGTTTAAAGATAGGTCAAGAGCTTATACATATCTGCCTAATATCTGTTAATGGACTGTAATATTAGTTAGACAGAAATGCAAAAAGTTGCAAGAATAAATTCCCTTTACAAAAATGGTAAGTGTTGAACAAACTTCATGAACTGTTTATAGCATATTCTGCATGTGGAAACTTATCTTTGACACGTCATTAGAAGGTTCTTTTAAGAGGCATAGAACTGTAGAAATTCTTTAAACGTTTCTTCTTATTGGAAGAAACTAGATCAAAAAAGGTTATTTTTATAACAAAATGTAATGTCATAAATACACTGCCAGATGTATAAAATACAAGAATTGTATGTTCCTTTAATCCCTAGGTTCATCATTAGAACGGCTGTTCATAAAATTATATATAAAAATAAGATTGCATATAAACATTCTATTTAAGTTGAAAACATCATTTTAAGGAAGCGTGTCACTTCGACTAGAAATATATCACTGCTGTGGTTTTTCTTCCCTCGTATAACCACTATCCAAAATAGAGCAAATCAAAGTTTTGTCCGTTCCTCCAGTTCACTTTTTACAAGTGTGACTGGTTTGATTACACTTTCCAGTAGTTTTGTCTTCTGTTCGGGGCTAAAGGATCTTGCACGCTGTCAAAGAAACAGAGAAAAGAGAAAAAAGTCATAAAAAATGTGGAACTATACACCTTGGGGAGGAAGGTGTTACTGATTTCAAACTCTGATTATTGATGGGGAAGGTAACAAAATATATAATGTATAACGAAAGAGAAGAGGCAGCTGATAAATACTGCTTAAAGCAGGAAGCAGGCAATAATGTTGGAAAGTCCTTCTCACTTTTGTTAGTGGTAAGTTATTTTTCTGGACCCATTTCACTTTGTCAGCTCAGTTTTGGGTTACAGAGTGATGTGGCAGAAGTGTATTTTCATTAGTATTTTAAGAACTAGGTCTTCAGAAGGTAGGACAATCGATCACCTGCCCTGTGCTTCCCGAGCGTGACATACATTAAGTGGTATGACATTTCCTGTGATGTGCAGCTGGTTTCTGATAAATTCCTTAACTAGCATTTGCAAGAACATAAAAATACGTAACCTTGACGTGCCCTCAGTTTAAAATATATAACCACATAATATTCTTGTCTTCCTTTTAACTTTACAGCTGTGGAGAAGCTGAAGGAGCCCACCTCAGAGTCACAGAATAGCAACCTGTGGATCATTGTTGGTGTGGCAGTCCCAGTGGCTGTGGTGCTCCTGATCGTTATTATTTTATACTGGAAACTTTGTCGAACAGACAAGCTGGAGTTTCAGCCAGACACGATAAGCAACATTCAGCAGCGACAGAAGGTAAAAGGGGAAGCTCTGCAGGGAGGAACTTGAGTATTCTGATCGTAAATGAATGTGAGAGTCTAGGGAACACCTAGCATCCCTAAATAGCATGTGGAGACATAGTTTCAGAGCCTTCCAGTTTTTTTTTAAAAAAAAAAAAAAAAAAAGGGAAAAAAGTCAAATGATAGTTGAAGTCAAGAATCCCGTAGTGTTTTATTTGTTCTCCTAGGTATATGATACTGCATTAGATAGATACATCCTTCTGAAATGTGGGCACTGAGGCTGAAAGGAACCTTTCTTTATCACTTCATTTCAAGGCTTTGGCTAGGACTGAATAAGAGGAAATGCATTGAGTGTTGAATCACTGAGCTTGTTTTCTGCAGAGGGCTGAATTTTTCTTTGGAGAGCTTCTGCTAAACTAATTTGACATCTGAACCACACTATTCGTTACACCTTATGCTGAAACTGGAATTTGCTGGAGCCTATCCTTGCTGCTCTGTGTTCTGCTGGGGCTCTTGTGTTGCTGTTGTGAAAGCCTGTTGCAGGACCAGAAGGTTAATTAGCGGCTCTGCATGACACTGCATGGGTGAGCGTGTTGGCCAGGGTGTTGGAGGACCGGGTTAGGATGGTGGGAAATTCAGTAGTCTGTCTTTTACCTCCCTAAGACTGTAAATGAAAAAAACATGTGATCCAGGATTTTCACAAAGGATATATTCAGTAAAAAGAATGGAAGAGAGTTACACATCCTGCCTTTCCTTTCTGCAACTGAAGTGAACTGGTCTGTGTGTCAGAGATGCTTATTACTGACTATACCTTCAGGGGCATTATTAAAGGCAAAATAATCTGCCTGTGCTAATCCTGTGGTACTGTAGTTATGTGCTTGTACTGTCGCCTCATGTTCAATCATACAGTTTTCTCCATAACAAGCCTTGTCTGTACACCGTGCTCTCATTCAAGATAATGAATGATGTGAAAGATAAGAGAAGCAGAAAGCGATTGCTCTTCCAAAGCAGTCGGAACAAATCAATAGTAACTTCCACTTGTCTTGCCTCTGCAGACTGAGTGTCAGAATTGAGGTTGGCAACAAGTGGTACCCTTTGATGAACTTCACTCCCTGGTACCTTGTTTCACCTGTGCCGTGGTAGTACGTAACGCAGATTTTGATTGAACAAGTTCCCCACAGTAGTTTTGGCTAATTTGAGAAGGGTCATACAAAAAAGGCAGGAGAGGATCATTACCCTTGGTATCCTATTTCATCACATACATTTTCGATACCTCTCTGTTGTCACGAGCTTTTTGGAAGAAAGCAGTTGGGTTGGGTTGACTGCAAGGCCAGAAACACCTTCCACAGTTTTACTTTCTTTTGGGAAAATGGCTCAGTTGTTTTTCGCCACTGCTTACACAGTATTCTTCATCTTAATCATTCATGAGTCAGAAGCCTTGAGCTTGTTTGTATGCAAGTCTCATTTCAGTTCGCCTAGGGAGCCTGTCACTTTGCCTTCTTTAGGGAAGTCACTGTAAGCAAACTAGAAAGAACCAGTAAGGACATCTAGTCCAATCCTTGTGCCAGTGGATGGCTCATACTTCAATACTAAATGAGGCAAAGCAGCAACAGAAAGTGTCTTAAATTTTTATCACTTAGCACATCAAACAACTGGCAGAATCTACTTCGAAAACCATTTTTCTCCTTTTCCCGAGATCCAGAAGAAAAGCAGTACTCTGGCTTCCTTAGTAGCAAGCCATCTTTGGGATTTCTTCATGTCTTCAAACAGTGGGTTGGAATCCCAGGGCAGAGTAGGGCATATTGAACGAGCACTGAGGACCCCCAGCCAGCCGCAACACTGTACAGATGATTAGGGATATTTGGTGTGGTCCCATCCTTTAAGGTTGTTTGGGGGTTTTCTGCTTTTTATTACAGCAAATGAAAAGAAATGATCGAAAGAGTGAAATCATGTGGTCAGGGATTTAGGTCTGAAAATAAACTCAGTTCAAGAATGGGCTCCGGGTCCCCCTTTCTCACCCACCCACAGTTATTTTCATTCCCTTTCTACAGAGCTTGACTTTGGTACCAAAGGAGAGTGAAGGCCTGCACTGCATCTGTAAATGCAAGGATATTTAGGTTAAAGATCTGGGTTTTTCTTTTGGAATCAATATTTCATTGGTAAAAACCATAAAAATGCATTATAGTGCTGGCTCTTCTCAGTTCCATTAATCTTTTTAAAAAAAAATGCTTTTAATGTAAATATAGAAATTGAATGTATAAATATTGAAGTATTTCATAAACATATGCATGGCATATCCGTACTGGAAATAGAAGACAATTCTTTTCAACCATGTAATAAGTCCACAGTGTGTTTCCTGCTTGAAAGTGCATGTTGGTTGGAAGATAAGAAACTGAGACACCCTTTTCTTGCTCAGATGAAATAGGCTATCATACTGCACTGGTGGATCTCCAGAGGTATCACCAGTCTTTTTTTCAGTGTGCTTAATTAGCCATTTCAACATAGAATACCGGTGGGCAGCATAATAATCTGTTAGAATTCACAGTAGCAGCTGATAGCAAATCATGTCACCTGTGAAAGCCTGGAACAAGGTTGGGAGTGGGGTGAGGGGAAAGCCTGTTTGCCTCACGCTGCTGAGGAAAAGACTTTGCCACTTAAAGTCTGATTCCTGGAAATGTCAAGCGAGAGAGCTTCTGCAAATGTACAGTAATGCAGATTACATGAGTAAGACATAAGTTTTTCAGGAGCTTTTTATTCTCAGTTTAGACACTCTTACAAATTTGTGTTCTTCTCTGCAGAGAGACACTTCTAAGACGCTGCCAATTTTCCTGGATTCTATAGCCCCATGTGTCATTCTTGCACCATCTTTTCTTTTGTCCTTTCTTTCACTTAATTCTGGTTTTAAACTCCTGTTTTTTCCTGAAATATTTCGGTATGCACTCAGACAATATAATTATTTAAGTTTTAATTTTATTCTTCTATATGTAACCGTTTACTTTACAGAGTAGGTATGATTTTTGCGTTCCTATGACCACCATTACAAGTAATTCATAAGCTGCATACCCTCACACTCTATCTTCGGATGAAGCAAACCAGTACTATTAGCTGTTGGTACTAAGGCCCTGCATGCCTTTTGGGTGTGCCCTGAGGGTATGGCTGCCCAGGTACCCCTCAGGGGAGGTAAAGATCACCAGATAGTTGCATTATGCAACAATTCAGTCATACTGGCCAGTGTATCGTGCCGGCACAGCTAACCTGCTTTGGTCCCTTACCCCTTTAAATATTTGGGTCACAGCCCCTCACTCGTGATGGTCAGTAATAGCTTATTTCCCAGTTCAGCAGGCATAGCTGTGTTGAACAGCGTTCAGGTCCCGCAGTGACAAACCCACAGAAGTACCCCAGGTTACATCTGTGTTTATGTGCCTGAAGCTGGGCTGGAGTCCAGATTTGCTGCTTGCCCCCACCTTCAAGGCCAGGTCATTCTCAAAGATAATATAGACAGTAGCAAAGATAATGTTTCTTCTGAGGTGATGAGGTGGGCAGGGTAGGCGGTATTCAGTGAAGGGCTGTTCTGCAGCTGGGGTGTATCATGCCCCTCTACCAGGTTCTGTTCTCTCCATCTGGCCATCTAGTTTCATCACAGGAACAGTGTCTTGCAGACAGGATGGCATAAGGGTCCTTCTTAAAGAGGCTCACAATGTTATCTTCTGCAAAAAAGAGAGAGTCTGAACTCAGTATGATGTTTTACTTCTGGATAGTCTCAGAAGTCTGCTATTTCAGTGAATATAAACAAGTGCTCAGGAAAGAAAACTTTTGTGGGAACTGAGGTTGTCAAAACCAGGTTCAAAAATAAAGTAATAAAAAAAAAAAGGGGGGGATCTTGAAGAGATTCTGATTAGCTAATCTATGCCTCTGCCTCAAAGCAGGACTAACAGTACCTGAAAAATATTATGTTACCTTTTTCATTCTGAAGATTAGATGGGAAAACATGCTTAGATCAAAGTTATTTGGACCCTTTTTAAACTGGGAGTTAAGGAAGCAGGTCAGAGCAGTGCATTTCTATGCAAGATTCATCGGTCTGTGCAGGGATAATTCTTTTCAAGAGATGGAACTAAGATATTTAAAGGGCACATCAAGTATTCATGACTTGTTCTGTAAGCCGTAGCATCCTACTGGAGATTCACCTTGATGTGATCTGGGTTGTTGCACTGGATTAAAGATGTCTTTGCCTTTTGAAATAAAAAGATGTGTAAGTGGCATTTTATAAATTACAGGATTTTCTCTCTTGCCATTGCCTATATCTCCCACAACATTGTCCCAGCCTGAGCTTTTTTCCTTGTGAAGAAGCTGTGCTTTTTGTGGACAATTTTATTTTTGCCATGGGTTATTCTTCTTCTTCTTCATGAAAAAACAGATAAATATATTTAATGCCCAAGCCATCGTTCTGCTCTGTACTGGACTACTGATGTTTTTGTGTGAAAACACTGCCAACCCCTTTCTTCTTCCCCAGAGGGGAAAAAACCCCCGACATTGTACATATTATCTGTAACAGAAACAGTTTTGGTAATATTATTTCTTTCTCTGTGGTCATCCAAAAGTTAAAATGGAATCTGGTTCACGAGGCATTTCACTTTCCCTGCTGTGTACAAGCACCTGAAGAAAGAAGTCAAATCCCTTGCTAGGCTTTATCAGAGGTAGCTTAAGCTCTAGACAGTTATTCCGGGAAAGGCTCCCTGCCCTGATGACAAGAATCTGACACGTGTGGACAAGCTCATTGACGGTTTATTTAGAAGGTCTTGGATGTTCTCCTGTAAATGCTAGGCACGCTGAAGTCATGGCCTCTACAGTGCTAACTTTGAGTGGCTTGCTCGGTTCCTGTTTTTTCCGAGGGCACATCCTAAAACCCTAGGGAGGAAAAGCCTGCTTCCCCAGCCAGAATTCGCTCCCCTCTGGAGCCCTCTGCGTGCCACCGTGGCTCTCCGAGGCTGAACGTGTCCCTCTGGCTCCCCGTGTTCA